TGTGGGCCTTTGTGACAGTGGAGTCATTTTATATGATGAACAATAATCAAACAGCTGAGTGAAAAAGAGACAAATTGAAAAACAGATTTTATCATTTTATCATTTCCCTCCTTCTTTATAAATAGTTTTTTCGACCCCTCTCCCTCTGTACTCTCTGGGCTCACTGTGTTATTTCGCCACTGACAGGTGGAGCCTTTTAAGTCCCATGTGCAAATATTTGCAGATTATTTTCTGCAAATTGGTTCTACCTTAAACAGACTGAATAGAGAGTATCTGTAAACAACACTTGTCAAAGATTGCTGACAGGGATTTGTACTTTTACCCGGAAATTCTAAACAATGATTATGCTTTGCATAATAAGCCATTCGATTAAAAATTGAACCTTCCCCTCAGTCCTATGTACATGTTTTATTACCTCTAATACTTTATATAGGTTCCCAGCCCCTTCTGAAATAAAGCCTCCTCATATCATGGCATGTTACCCTGCTTAACAGTAAGGAATGTTATGTTTTCCGGAGTTTATGTTTTCATCCTCAGAACTAAACCATTGAGTCGGTCATGTTCAATTGTATGTGACCAGAGTGTAAATCTACATGGAGGAGGTGGAGAGCAGAGCATACAAGCTCATACAAGGGAACACCACAAACTCACTAGTTCAGACATGTGGATGACACCTCACAGTCAATGTCAACATTAACATCAACTCAGTGGCCAGAAACATCAAGGATTCCAAGAAAAAACTTGTTGCACTTTCTGGACTGTGTTGTGCATATTGAGGACAATGGGAGTCCTATTACTGGGGTTTACCAGAAACATACACATACAGACCTAAATCTGAATTTTGATTCACATCACAAACCCACTAAGTCTCTGTTTTCAAAACTCTGAGTTACCAGACTGACAATGTTACCTTAATTGCAGAGCAGAAGCAAAAAGAATGCAAACATGTCAGGGAAGCATGTGATTATCCAAAATGGCCATCTACTAAGCTGGCCAAAAGGATTAGCAGAAAGAACACACTGCATCTAATACAGAGGAGAAAACAGAGAAACTTGAAAACACTATAGTTCCATATGTGTCAGGAATTTGGAACTGGTTCATCCCCAAGACATGAACACCAAAACCAAAGCTGAGTGGCGTTGTTTATGACATGCAGTGCATTGAGGATCTCGAGGACTCCTACATGAGAGAAACCAAACAACAACTACAAAACTTAAGGTGCAGAATAGCCAGCAAGTCTGGGCAAAATTCAGTTCTACACTTGCACCTCAGTCCAAAATGTTTAGATTTGGACAGAGAGGACAGACGGTTTAAAAGAGAGGTAAAGGAAGCCATCTTTGCTAAAGGAGAAAGGCTGTCACTGAAAAGAGGGGGAGGATCATGGTTTAAGTTTCCAGGTATATATATAACTCAATGCTGGAACTCATTCCGAAGAGGTTACGCAAGCACATTCATTGTGATTAAAATAGCCAAACACAAAACCCATACAGAACAAAAGACCAGAGGAAAAATGGCTCAGTCACTTATTTGCATCTGACTTGGAATGTGGATCATGGGCCTCCAGCTGCTTAACATTCACACTTCAACTACAGGTTGCTCTAGTTCAAGACAACAGAACTGACAAAGATTGCTGGACAGGTGTCAAAATATTTTCATGAAAACTGAACAATTGTTTGGTTTCCTTCAATTTAAGCTTATTTTGTGTTTAATTGGTTGTGACACATTTTACATGGTGGTAATGGGGCAAAAGGGCCGAATGCAAATATACACACCACTTTCAGATTATTATTTGTCAAAGGAATCAAAACAAAGTATAATTTTCCTTTCACTTTACAATACAGTATTTTCAGATAGTGTGCAGCATAAATTCCACATTCAAGTTTGTGGTCTTCAACTGACATATCATGTAAATCTCAGGTGAAGGAATATGAATGTTTTTGCAACACAAAAATCAGATTTTCTACATCAAGTTCAACAGTACCTGACAGGGAGATTGATCAGTACACTAACAAATTACTCTCCCAAACTGTACCAACAGGTTAAACCTCAAAGTGCAAGTCTTCCCGCCAACAATGGCTATGTATTTCAAACATCTAAGCTGCAAGGAAGAGTTTTTTCTTTTACAGCAGGCTCAGATGATAAAACAGTTATTTGTAACCAGTATTTCTTCATTCCAGAGGTGATAACGAGATGTTTGTTGAGGTGGTGGTGAGCTTCTGTAAAGGAAAATGGGCTTGTTCCTTCTAAAGCAGTGCAGTTCCGGTTGAACAAGGGGCCAAGGAGTGACTAAACACAGGGAGGAGCCAAGCAAGTACAAATCGAAGATATCAGAAGAGAAGCAAAAAGTAGGTTTGTTTGATGGGAATGCTGGAAAAAGTGACTAATCAACGCTGCTTGTAAATTTATGGTATGGACTTTTTAATGGCTTCTAGCACAAACATGAAGTCATTGGCTAAGTTAGATATATTTCAAAGAAGTGAAAGTAGTACTTCCTCTTAAAGGACTCTTACGTTTGTTCTTACAATTAAAAGGGATGTCATGTCACAGAACATTTTTGCAGACACAAGGACAATGAGGTATAAGAGAAAAAAATAGAAATAAAGACAGTCCCATGACATTGTATTCTGACTGAAAAAAAAGATTTATGTCTAGTTTCCATCTCGAAAAGTTTGTGACAAAGAAGCCTTGATGAGTAATCTCAGAGTTTTGTTAAGTAATCTCTTGGCATTCAGCCTCATTTCTAAACAGGGTATGACGTTTGTTTTTCCTCCTCTGATACTATAAATAGGTCTATAGGAGCTTGCCACTTAGGGATGACTGTCTTATTTTCAGGCTCAAAGGATTTGATGATTCAGAACCATGTGATCAAGCAGCTTTGTGTAAAGGAGCAATTGACTAATAAGGAAATACGTGGTTTTTGAAGTAATTCATTAAGCTGATCACGCAGTAGCATAATCTGATTGGCTTTAGTCCTTTTACCACACTACTATACATTTTTTTTTATTGGAAGGATAAAACACAAATTCTCAGTCCACTTTGAACTTGTTGGTTTGATTGTTCACTGATGAATTTTTGTTTTTTGATTTTGACATATTGTTTTCGTGTCAACAACAAAAAGGTTTGCACATAGTTTGGATGTTATTACTAGGTGGTTGGTAACCTAAAAACAATATGTAAACAACATTTTACCAATACATAATCAACACAACCATCTTGCTGCAAAAACATTTAGCCATATGTGACAGTAACGCTTTTGCTATGATTCTAAAGCAGAGTTCAAAAGAGGGGTATGAGGGCTGAAGTGTAGCTTTTTGTTCAGATGTGTTGGAGAAGAGATGCATTCAAGAGTTTCTTGTTGGTAACTCTTTAGACCTGGACCTAAGCATTCTTGGTTGAGACCATAAGGGATAGCTCAGTTTTTCTATTACAAAGCAATATTGTTTCTCTTAACACATATAGAAGATGTTACATTGCATTGTTTTTTTTGTATTTTATGTAGCAACTTAACAAAAGTTTTTACTTACCTTCCTAATATCAATTTCATTCCCATAAAAAAGTGATTGTGGACCCATGCATCTTAAGCAGTGATTCCCAACAGGTGTTAATTGCATCCCTAGTGGTCTGGGAGTGCATTGCAAGGGGAAACATTTTATCTATCTGGTAATAAAATATAATAAGCTGGGATCTGTTCTGCTTTATGAGGACTCAATGTAAAAATTAAACAGCCTTTTTCAACCAAAAGGTAAGTTATTCCTCTATATTTGAGTTGACTTTCAGCTTTGACACATCAAGACCAAGCAGAGAAACAGACTGGATGTAGAGAACAGCCTTCGATCAGCACACCTGATCAAAGCAAGCTCAGGTGTGCTGAAAAACTGCTGATACCAGGCTGTTCTCTACATCCAGTTTCATAGATGATGAAAACAGTGTAAAATAAATGGAATCAGTCTGAATGTAATTTTTGTTCAGTATTTTGTCCCCAAGTCATCAAGTTTAAATGTAGTTATAGGAAAGTCACTCAGAGGAGCTCCAATTTTATAAAGGCAGATTTATATCATGATTTTATTTTGGTATTTATTTTTGATTTTTTACTAACTTCCGGAAAACATCTTTATATTGTTTTTTTATGATTTGGAAATAATAAAATGCCAAAGAATTAATTGCTCAAGTTAAAAAGATTAAATAAAACACTTATAATATTTATTTTGTACTTAGTTATTGTATGTTATACTTTTTGAGAATCATTAATACTTTTGGCTGAGAGGGGTACTCTGTCAAAAAAGGTTGGGAAACACTGATCTAAAGCACTGTATCTTAGTCTGTCTTTACAATGCAAATTATTTGCTTGAAATGAATTGAAACATGCGCTGTTCTCTCTTTTTAATACCTCAATTAAAAAAATCTATAAATATCATACTTGCATTTCTTGTTGGTTTGTGCCAAATATTTGAGCTGATATAAAAAATAAATCTATCCCCACTTATTAAACTCTAATTATAGAACAGAAAATAAAATTAATAAAAAAGTGTAAAATATAAAATAACAGAATAAGTGACAGAGTAAAAAAAACAAGCAAAAAAAAACACAATTAAAAGAAATCAAGAAATTGTATTTAACCAGAGTAGATATTATTTACTATAACCCATAACCAAAAAAGCTCAACTTAAAATATCGGTAGAAATTGGAAAGAAAATGCTCCCCTTGAAGGTCCAGGTGGAAGTGTGGAAAGAAACATCCTGAAACAGGATCTCCATTAGTCCATTTTGTGAAAAAAAATAAAATAATTAAAACCACAAAGATACGAAATCATAAACGCCTGTCAAAAGACAGGTGGAAACAGTCACCTACCCCTCACCCCCCAACCATCCTTACATTGAATTGTTTTTGTTTGTTTTTGTTTTTTTTTTTTTTGTCTGTAGGTGTGTATGTGTGCGCGCGCGTCAGGGGTTTCACGGGAATTCACCTGGATAACGTCATACGCCGCGCGCTCCCAGCTAATGAGGCGCAGCGCGAGCTGGTAGGCAGAAGTAGAAGAAGCTTGAATGAACAGGCGCACTCCGAGGCACTTCCTCATAAGTTGCCTTAATATTGTGGTGGATTCCAAGAAGACCTGTTATTAAAACTCTAAATTTGTGACACAACAAAGGCAGCCTTCAGGTCGAGAAGAAAGCGGTGAGTTACTGAACTTCTTTCGTGTTTTGCAGAACTTACAACTCGGTGTTTGATAATTGGGAAAACAATGCAGTATCAGCCTGTACCTGTTTGTTCCAAGTAAAATGTTTTGTCTAGTTGCCTGTCATTATTTGAAGCTGTTTTTGCCATATTTCATTGTGAATTTATCTGACAGCGAAACGACAGAGTTGTATTTCTGTCTCGCTGGGCTGGTTGGGTCAGTGTAGTGGAAGAGCTGCAATTAATCACGTGGCAGCTTTTCAAAGCCAAGGCAAATGTGGACATTTCTCTGGTGAGATGCTGTGGCCCTTTTCACGAGCTGTCCAAACAAGAATGGATCAGAGGAAACACTCAAGTAACATAGGAACCCATTAAAAGTACAAAAATAAAAAAATACACAATATGTACACAAAGCCCCTGATGTGAACCCTTAGAATCAAAACAGAACAGCAACAACTGTTCCCACTGCTACTAAAATGATGTGTGTTGTTTATAACAGCTTTAATGTCATTTATAACATTATCTGGGTACATAAACTGAACTAAAACAGGTTTAATTATAAGATATTTTAGTTATAGTACAAGGAATCATACTCATGAAAATGGCTCTTAATTAAAAAATAATAATGATAATCTTGTTTCTTTAATTTAGGGCGGTCCTGTCAAGTACATTAAGATTTATGACTGTTTTTAGTTTTAGTTTTTATGATACAANTTTCCACATCTGGAAAACTTACAAACGGCTGAGTTTTCTTTGCTTTTTACTCACGAAAGGAAGTATAGTAGCTTTTCTTTAGCCAGCTGACTGTGTAGCAGTGAGTAGGAACCTGTGTGGGAGAATGCTTTTAAAACATATGTGTTAGGTTGGCCATGCCTTGTTCTGGCTAATTTATTTTATTATGAATCAGAAAAAGAAAATACAGACTCAACTCAGCCTTGAGACACAATTTTTCTATCCTTTTATTAGAATGAAATTGGTAATAAACGTAGACCTGAAAAACAAACCGTAGCGTTAGGTTGTTTATCTGTTGTGCACAACTGAGATCAAAGTCTATAATTCTGAGATAACAAAGGTACCTATAACTTGGCACTGACTTTACAACAATACAAACCTAATTTAGTTGTCTACTAAGTGAAAATGTGAGTAGTGATAACGGCTCGCCATCATGGTGGAGTAATATCTTAAAAGGAAGTATCTTTGACAGCCGTGACGTCGCTCGGACTCAAAAGCCGCAACGTCTTCTGATCGCTGGCTGAACAAATGAACAAGTGTTGAAATTATTCCTTCGGTTGCAAAAGTCTTGAGACACTCCATCTGCTATTGTGCTGGGGGTTTTTTTGTTGTTGTTGTTTTGTTGAGACCGCAGAGCTTTGAGAGCACAGTTAACATTATTTGCCCACAGTCACTACTTTGTGAAAATAGGTCGAGGGCATTGTGAATCATTTTGGAGGGTAGACGCAGGGACATCTGCTCCGCAAGCATCCTGATCTTTTGATAACTCAAAAATAAACAAAACAGGCGGAACATGTTTGCTTTTATGTTAAAATGTATATTTAGATTTAGATCCTAAAACAATAGTGCAAATTTTATATTAGTATAAAGAAGATCACCTGAAATAAAATCTGAACTGCATTATGTCTGCTTATTCTCACAGTCCTTTCTTGTTGTGTGCTGTAAGAGGTAAACCTGCTGAGTGTCTTAGAGGCAGTGTGGGTTTTGTATCTTGCCTAAGGTCATTTCAACATGTAGCCAAGGATCACGCAACTAAACTTTAAATGTTATACTCCTCTGTCTCCTGAGCCACACATCCAGGTTTAACCCATCTATAACTGTTAGCGTCTTTACTCGGGTGTATATCAGGTTTTTCATGGCTTATGCTGATTTTCATATTAAACCTGCTGATTAATTTTTGATATATTTTTTTTAAGGGATCAAACCACACAGGAGAGAATAAATAAATATATATATATATATATATATATATATATATATATATATATATATTCCATTATCTTTTTTAAGAGTAGAACTTAAGTTTGTTTTGAACATAATAGAGCTTTATTTAGGCAAAAATGTCAATAGAAATAATGACTAAGAAATCAACCAGTTCTCCGTTGATCAAGTATAGAGAAAAACTAAGAGGGTTTTATTTTCAATATATTTAATGCGTAAAAAATGATAAATATCACATTCCCTGTTCTGTAGTAGGATGAACTTTTAGAACATATCCTCTAATAAGATACATTTGATTAAATTAAGGGTTTGGATGCCTAAGTTCTAACAGTAATGCAATTTTTATTAAAAAAAATGTTCCAAGTCAAAACTTATTAATAGGATTTTCTCATCTCAAATCACAAAGAGAAGCTTCATTGGTGCACCTCTAGTTTGAAATTATACAATAAACAAGCAATGTAAAGAAGAAACCTTCTCAAAATTGCATGTAAACGCAAACACATTCAGGCACAATTTAGGTTTATTTGCACAAAGAGTTCTGGGCGCTGATGCTTTTGCTCATCACATGCCATTGTGCTCTTGTCACAGCTCTTCTTTTTGTCCTGTGCGCACACTCCTCCTCACAACTTGGTATCCTGTTTAGCTCCTCTGGTTTAGATTCTATTCTGTTGGGCTTAACTAAGCCTTTGTGAACTGTGAGCGAAGCAGAAATGGACACCTCATTTTAAAGCATGCTAAGCAAACACACATTCAGTCCCTGACACAGAGGCAGGATTCTTTCCATGTCGGTTGCAGCTTTGGCATCGTTACAAAAGTTGGTGCTCTCATGAAAGAAGCCAAACCATTTGGGGGGCGACTTTTTGACCATGATCTTCATTAAAGGCATATCCTATTTGACATAATGCAGCATCCCAAAATAATCTGATCGCCACTATGTGTGTCTGTGTGTGTGAAGGTGCATTTGGTCTGGTGCTGTTTACATATTAACCTTGGAGGGATGGAAAAAGGCAGGCTTCTTGCCAGTCACCACTGAATTTCATTAAAGGCTTCTTTGTTCAGGGTTATTAGTTCCTGTTTGTGAACATAAGTTGACTTGCATACTTTCAAAATGGAACATTAAAGACAACAAAATGTCTCAGTAAGATTTGAGGATTAGGTAGAGGTTTGTAAAAAGGTTTTACTTGCTTGATCAAGTATGAAAAGAAAGTCATGTCACTGGGAAGATTAAGAAGCCCCCTCTCATATTCTGTTAAAGCAACATATCAGGAGTCAGGTTCTGTGTAAACATTATTAAGATCTGAAGTAGAAAACTCGCTTGGTGGTCCATTTCTTTAAACATGTTGCTTAATGAGGCTAATTACTCACTAATCTATTGGAGGGAACAAGACATCACCAAAAGAAACAGCAATCCCAAAAAGAAAGTAGCAGCTTGTGCAAAAGCTGTTTTATAAAAGTTTAAAGCTTATAGTTTTCCATTGGTAGCCATATAAAGAGGTAGATGATTGCTTACATAGGAAAAAAGAGTTGGAGGCAGGACCCTGCTTATCCTGGGAATAAAATGGTTACATAGTTTGTTCAAATGTAAGACCATGTTAAACTCTAAAACATAATACTGACTTAAATGTAGGGTTGTCACGATACTAAACTTTTCAACTCGATACAGATACTAAGGAAAATATTCGATACTCGATACCATTTTCTATACCACAAGGATATAAAAACAAAGACTCCAAAATTCAACAGAAATTTTCATTAATAATAAAAATACAATAAGAATAATAATAATTTGAGGTTGTTTGCTATGCAGAATATTAAGCAAGCTTGGTAAAAAAAAACGTACAAAATTAAAATTAAGTTTTCTTTACTTGGCTATGCTTTGCACAGATAGCAATGACACTAGCCAGACCGGTTAAGAAACAAAAATAATTCTCAGCAGCTGCACCTGTTACAAAAAAAAGTCTGAAACTGAAAAGTGCACAGAATTATTCAATCACACAGTGTTCAGAAAGTGCATTTTCCACTATTCTGCACTGTATCGATACTTTTGAAAATGAGTATTGTATCCGGATACAACGTTTCAGTATCGATACTTATTTGAGTATCGATTCTTTTGACAACCATACTTAAATGCATTCTGTTTTAGCACTTTGTTACTGAGTACGTGTTTTGTTTGCATTACATGTTATGTGAGAATATTATTGTTTACGCCCTTACCTCTATTGGTTAAAATGAGCTAGAAGGCGGGGTGTCCTTCTCTTTAAATAATAATCACTTCCGAGTAAATAACCATTCCAAACATGCTGATGACAGAAAGAGGCATCTAATTTGGTCATCTACAGCAGGTAGGTTATTAGCTGCTTATAACCATTCAATATAACCTCACTTAAAAAACCTAAACCAGCTCCTAACAACTTTGGATAAATATTGGTTCTATTTCTAAATACTTTTTTATGTAATTGGCTATTTGTGACAGGATTTTAAGGGGCTTTTTGTCCAACTTCTTTTTTTTATAATGCCACAAACATACAACTGAAGTATTAACCGCAGTATCTGAATCCAACAAGTGAAACGTTTTTTTTATGCATATCAGATATAGTAAAAGAAAAATGATTCTTGTTCTTTGAAAGATTTCAATGAAGTAGGACCTTTGTTCAGATTTGTTAGTTAAACAGAGCAGAACTTGTTTATGTGTCTGTTGCCCAGGAAGCAGAGGCAACTAGAAATCTGTGCAGCTTCTTGTAGTAATGTCCATTTACCCGTATATCATGTTGATGAAATCTTATATTGCCCTGATGGTTGGAGGCGGCCTCCAATACCCTCACAATCTGCCTTTAATTCAGACAGTGCTCCTACATTTGTATTTTGTTAGCTGGAAGGAGGGATGTTATCTGTTTGCAATGCTGGTTTATCCAGCTATATTTGGGAATGTTGTTATAGAGACGGTCTCCAAAAACAAAAAATCAAGAGATTGTGTTAGAGATAGATTGATAGATTTTTTGGCATTGGCTGGTAGCTGCGTACCTTTAACTATTAATGAGTGCATTCAG